CCCGCGCCCCCCGGCCGGCCCGCGCCCAGGGGGCCGCTGCCCCGAGCCCATCCCTTCTGCGCGGAAACGCCATGAGCTCTTTCACCCCCTATGACGGGGAGATCCGCCTCCAGCTTTCTGTCTGCGTGGAAGGGAGTCTTGTGTGCATGCCTGCCGGGGAGTAAAACCAGCCCGGGGAAAGGTAGCGACTTCTACGTGGCGTCACGCGCGGCGTTTTAGGCAGGGCTTGTAGGAGCTGTGAAATCGCGTCCCTCGGGAGATCTCGACAACGGGTGTATGTCGCCCTGCCCCAGGAGGGTGTTGAGAATAGTTTCATCAAGAGGTCCGTGCGTTCCGATGTCATCAAAGACAGAGTTTTTCTTGATCTAGAACTAGGAAATCTTAAAATACATTTTCCTCTTTTCTCTCTTTCTGGTGGTTAAACTTTTTCACGTTTGTACAATCTTTTGAATAATTTGTGTTGTAGGAACCCATACTTTTGAAGATGACACCTAGTGTACCTTGGTTTGTCGCTGTTGCTTAGAGACTTATTCCCAGTGCATGTGAGCAAAGATAAGGTAGCAACAAATATTGCCTATAGGGTTTTTTACCCGTAGTAGAGTTTTTGTAATTAAAGGTGTCTTTAAACTTTATTTCCAGTTCTGTAGTTCTTTTTAGTTGGTTTGTAATTGTATGGTTTTGATAGTGTGGTGGGTTAAATGTATTACGCTGTTAACACTATTACTTGTGATTAGTTTGTAGTTTTTAAGATGGCTATAAAAAATGAACTGCTCTGACTTTTCCATCATGATGTATTATTCATCTTTGTGTTAACAAGAGTGATGGAAACATAGGCTTTGGGCAGGTTTAGGCTTGGTAAATTACAGTTTATAGCTTTATCCAGTTTCTTCCTTGCATGCTAATCTCAATGGTCTGGTTCACAGATTCCTGCTCATTTTCATTCCCTGCTCATTTGGATGGCCCTCGGTGGTGGAAGATGTGTGTGATGGCTGGTCACGTACAGAAACGGCGATAAAACAGGGCTGTACAGTTCTTTTCTCTAGAACTTCTGTAGCTTAGGAAGCTTACGTGGGAGGTGCATCTGTGCATAAGGTCTTTTGCAGAGTTTGTAGGTTGCTTAATTTAACTGTTGAATGGGCTCTGAGCAGTGTAATTAAAGAAACCAGAGCTCACCCAGCTCGTCAGACTGCCTAGGGAACTGGTCTAACGCAGTGGTTTTCACCAGTGTTATCTGTGGGTTACTGGGGATCCCTGGATCAGGACGTATAGGCTCAGGTGAGACGAAGCACACACAAACTTTTCTGAAATGTGTGTGTATTTACAGTATATGAAGGGAAACACTTTTAGAATTTTGCATATGAATATGCATGTGATTTCTAAGCTCTTTTCAAGCAGTGTGATCAGAATTTGTTCTCCCGTGTACAATTATTCTCTGTGTATAATTTGTTCTAGAGCGAAGAACTGCAATGTGCCATCACGAGCCTCCCACCTATGGGTGCTGGGGAAAAATAGCAGCAGTGCTCCTTTGTCACAGAGGCCTTATCATTTGCATGTCCTCTGGTGTGGTGTCACTTCCCCAGAACATATTATATTTGATTTGTCACAGATATCTTAAACTGTTCATCTAACCTGGAATGCCTTACAGTAGGAAAATAAGGCCAAAAGATACAAACGCTTCTGTCATATTTCTACAGTATCAGTTAAGGCCCAGCATTGAAAACCACTGTATGGGGTTTTTTTTCTGAAGAAGGGAACTGGGTATTTCTAGTCCAAAAAGCCTGAGATGAAGGAAGAGACTTTGGGAGGGGTGAGATGATACTGTTATTGGGCATGTGAGACTCATAAAATCAGTGACTGAATACTGAATCTTAAAGACTCTGGACTGGGGAGAGGTGCTTCTGCGGAAGAATTTGAAATTGTCCATCTATGATTACTTTTTGAATGTCAAGGGATAAGTTATTTTGCCCGTTGGAATCTCTTAGTTCCTTTGCTTCGTGCCCTGAACAGCGCGTGTCTTGCAAAAGCATGCGGAGTATGCTGCTTTGAGGTATCTAGTCCAAGTATGAGTAAGTTTGTGGGTGAAATGATGCTAAATATGGGAAGCTTGCCTATTGCCTAATATTCCCATGTCAAATAGCAAGGCTATTAAAGACGAGGTTTATTCTGAGAGCTTTATACATACGTGACAGATACAGAGCTGGTGTACTTGCAGAGGAGCACCTAAAGTGGTTGAGACTTTTACTGGGTAATGGAAGCCAATTTTGGATAGCATTTTATTTAACTTTCCTTAACCTACCAAGGTAAGGTTTATTTTTTTCAAAAAGAGAGTGTTTATTTTTTCTGCTAGTAATTCCTTTTGCACAAGAAGGAGAGTTAGGGGGTGCAGGAAGAAGTGTAGCATTCATAACATGTTAAGAAATACGGTGCTTTTACTGCATCTGTTGCATGCTTGAGCGAGCTGTTTGGTCAGACAGCTGGTAACTTTTGTCTGGGGACGTTTGAAAGAATAGAACTTCAGTGTAAACTCTGCCGAATGTAGAATTTCATCAGCAGTGCCTTTACAAGTTACTGGAAATGTTTGAGTACTTATATGTTAGAATTAAGTCTCAAATTTAATCTTTTTAATTTCTTGTCTTATTTGGGAAATTCAATAAAACAATTGCTTTGTTTTTGTTTTCTGGTGTCTTCGCAAATGGTTTAGTTCAGGAAGCTGAAGCAATGGATGCACTTTACAAGCTATGGGCCTTAGTAACAGAGTAATGAAAATGAGTCACTATCCTATCCTGGGAAAAAAGTGGTGTAGTCGTCTTCTTAGCTATGCTTTTCCTTGCTACTGTTTTTATTTTTTTAAAAAAAAATTATACAGTAAACATGATTACAGAGAAGGTCACATCCAGAAGTTCATTTTTTCATTAAAAATGGCTAGTTTGTCATCTCACTAAATATACACCAACTTAAAATTCAGCCTTAGACTTGTTCCGTAGCATTCCTGGTTGGTACGTGTAAGTGATCTGGTGGAGTAGTTCAAAAATGCAATATAAAAAAAAAAACAAACCCCAAAAAACCCAAAACAAAACCTGAACAAACAAAAAAAACAAACAAAAAATCCCCAAACCCACAACCAAACCAAAAACCCAACAAACTTCTTTGAGGATTTCAGTTATATTTTTAGCATATCTTTACTCACCTCCCTTGCAGCTTCCAATAGGTAAATTCCACTTCAGAGTAATTAGCAGGGCTTCTTCACGTGTTATATTTGCATGTCGTACAGGTGTCCGTGTTGTATGCAGCACAATTGGTATCCTACATGTAACGTGTCCCCAGCTTGCGTTACAGGGGGGGGTTGTGCTTTAATTTGTGCCTGTTTTCTTTTAAAGCTTCTTTGTAAATCGGGAAATACTGTATGCAGAGGAAAACAAAATATGTTGAGATGCTCACTCTTTTTTCTCTCTTGTGTTACAGAAATGAGCCGTCAGACTGCTACAGCACTACCTACAGGTACTTCAAAGTGTACGCCATCGCAGAGGGTGCCTGCACTGACTGGCACTACAGCTTCCAATAATGACTTGGCTAGTCTCTTTGAGTGTCCTGTGTGTTTTGACTATGTGCTGCCACCAATTCTTCAGTGTCAGAGTGGCCATCTGGTTTGTAGCAACTGTCGCCCCAAACTTACGTGCTGTCCAACTTGCCGAGGCCCGCTGGGCTCCATTCGTAACCTGGCTATGGAGAAAGTTGCCAATTCTGTACTATTCCCATGTAAATATGCCTCTTCCGGATGTGAGATAACTTTGCCACACACAGAAAAAGCAGACCATGAGGAGCTGTGTGAGTTTAGGCCTTACTCCTGTCCATGTCCCGGTGCTTCATGTAAATGGCAAGGTTCTCTGGATGCTGTAATGCCACACCTGATGCATCAACATAAGTCAATTACCACACTTCAGGGAGAAGATATAGTGTTCCTTGCTACAGACATTAATCTTCCTGGTGCTGTTGACTGGGTGATGATGCAGTCTTGTTTTGGCTTTCATTTCATGTTAGTATTGGAGAAACAGGAAAAGTATGATGGTCACCAGCAGTTCTTTGCAATTGTACAGCTGATAGGAACACGCAAGCAAGCCGAAAACTTTGCTTATCGACTCGAGTTAAACGGTCATAGGCGGCGATTGACTTGGGAAGCAACTCCTCGATCTATTCACGAGGGAATTGCAACAGCCATTATGAATAGTGACTGTCTAGTCTTTGACACCAGCATTGCACAGCTCTTTGCAGAAAATGGCAATTTAGGCATCAATGTAACTATATCCATGTGTTGAAACGGCAATCAAACCTCTTCAGGCCAGTGTTTAAAACCGTTGCATTTAATTTAGCAGAAACTAGGGTAACCATCTTCGACTGTCAGACAAATTACTTGGTAGATGGAGGGTAGACACATATGAAGGTAAATAAAAGGAAAGGCTGTTAAATTACAGGAAGCAGTTGCATGTAGTAATACTAATATATTTAAAATAAGTCAACAGTAAACCACTGAAAATATATATACACCCAAAATGGGCATCTTTTGTATTAAGAATTGATTCTACAGGAAATGTTGTAAAATAATTCTAAAAACTTGTTTGTAGATTGATTGTACTGTTGAAAAGGATACTGTTTCGTGTTTTTGTTTGTGTTTTTTTTCCTCCCCCCTTTGACTGACAAGCCATGTTGAGCGGTCTGGTCTCTGGCCGCTGCTTCCCCTCCTCCCCCCCTTTGTAAGTCATTACATAGTATTGCTGCTGTTTGTGTATATTTTTTGTGTATTTGCTAATTTTTATTAACTTCTAGTTTTTCATTAAATAAATATGACTTTCTTTTCTGTAATTCAGGTTTTTCTCTTTTTTTTTTTTTTGTATCTTTTGAAAATTAATTACAGGTGTCATCTTTTGATATGCATAATTGCTATGGTAAAATTTCTATTTCTGTATGTTTGGTAAATTTTGTCTCTTTCCAGTAGTCAATTCATTGGTGAAACTGTTCTTAATTGAGCTATTTTGTGAATGTACTGAACTCGAAAGGAGTAATTATGTTCAGAGATGTATCAGGAAAGAAAGCTCCTTTAAAAACAGGTCTAGATGTTGTTGTACTTTGAGTTATCTTCTAACGAAAATGAACAATTATGAAGAATTTTCCAAATTAAAGAGAGTAATAATTCACGGTTCAAATTTAGAGATGCTTAGAAACTTGATTGCATCCTTGTATTTGTTGGTTTTGCAGTACGAAGAAGGTATTGTCTTACACAGTATTTGTAATTATAAAACCAGACCATTTGTTTTAAAAAAAGAAGGCAGTCAGAATGAGATGTTTTCAGTCTTTTTATATTTGTCATTAAAAGAATACCTGGCAAATTAAAACCAAACAACTTCGGCTTTTTGCTTTAGCTCAAAGTTTGACACATGGATACTCTTGCTCAGTTTCTTGTCTTCGTGTCTTTTGGCTGTTACTAAAGTAACCGTCTGGAGCTGGGGTTTGTATATCATTTCAGTGACATGATACGTGATACAGCGCAAATAATCTCTTGCAGGTGCGATTCATCAGCCATAAAGGCTTTTGAAGGATACTGGGCTCTGTGCAGACGGCCTATGTGTGAAAAATTTAACCATGAACGCGTACGGTGTTTGTGTTGCAAAACAAAGACACAGAGACAGAAAAGAGTGAGGCGGAAAGCTGCTTCACCTCAAGCTATTTGAAAGAAATCTTTGTCAAGCCCAGTACTAGCGGGCGTCTGTTTGGAGGGGTAGCCTGGCGGGTGACTACTTTTGTAACACATTAAAATACAGTTAGTTTACCGTGCGTTTTCTTATCGGAAGTTGATCTGTTAAGGCAACTCTTATTATTTTGATGCATGATGAGGTAAGTAGTTCCACAGGTAAGGAACATAACTCCATCAGGTTGGATTAATAACATACCGCAGAAGTAGTTGGCTTTGTGTAGCAAGTTTTACTTCTTAAAATTTGATATTTAGGCTGTTCATTTAAAAGATGTGCTGCTACCTTGTGACAGTAGATAAATGCTTCAAATATCCCACAGTCTAGCATTTTTTTCCTTATGAATATACGATTACTTGTTTGCAGTTTTCTGAATTCAGTATTATTCTTGCCTAATTAAGCTTGTCTATGTTTACCTCAGGTTTGTCTTCTGGTCTTTTACAGAAACTTAGCTAAATACTGCAGGTATTTTGCGAGACACACACTGACTCGCCAGCTCACTTGCTCACCCGCTCTGGGCTGGCTGGGACTGAAGCTTGCCTGCCAGGGTTACCCCGTTTGCACCTTTCTGGTTCTGTTAGGAAAACCTAGCTAAGAACGTGTGATGACCCTCAGCAGCCCAACACTTAGGCTGAGAGTAACAGGGCTGCGCAAGCACGCACGCAAGCTGTGTAAGACTCTTCTCTGCTGCTGCTTGTGCATGGAATGGTTCAATCTGTGTCCTCAGAAGAACTGTGGATCTTAAAACCTTGTTGCTCTGATCTGCAGTGATTTTATTTAGGCTAGAACGGGCTGAAGGCCAAGACTAGGCTTTTGAAGGGGACTTGAAAATTTGCATTTGTAATGAACTTTAGAAGCTAACTGGTACAGTCGGAGAGTTTTTAAAGTTTTCCATATGACAAATGCTATAGTGTAACTAATGTACGCTGACTTACCGTAATGTAAACTAGTTTTGGTGTTAAAAAAAGAAAAACTGTATAAAAAATGTGATGTCCATCATCAGATGGAATAATTAAACAAATTATTCTTAGGCCCAGATCCTCAGAAGTATTGGAAGCCTAATTCAGTGGATCTCCTCTAAAGAGTCTGAGGATCTGGTAAGTCAACTACATGCTGTTATACATGAAAAAAGAAACCATACTATAAATCTGTACAGTTTCCTGCCTTATCTAAAATAAATGGTGTATTAAAGCCTGGTGTTGTCTTAACATCAGCTGTTTATTTTGGATACCCTACTTTTCTGGTGTTTCACCGATCATCCAGTTTCTTTGCACTTTTTGTGTTCAGGTAAGGCAGAAAGTATTCCCAGACCCTGTGTTTGTTGCCTCTTCGCCTTGGAACTTGGCTAGTGAATGACTTAAGTAGAATTCTTAAAATAGTGAAACAAAAGCAGTTTTTATTTTTATCATTTTATTAGATGAAGTCTTCTGTGAAAGTTGTAACATCTTTTGCAAATCAGGAGCAGAAATACCCCCTGGATTTATTACTGTCAGTGCTATTATGTTGCAGGTAAATCAGCTTTCTGTCTATGGAAATGAAAGCAAACCAAACTATTACTTTTGATTTATAGGCTGCTTCAATAGCAGGCTTTTGTCGCAGAGACAATTTGCATTTCATAAGCGCACTTGCGTTTGTTTTAGAATTAACAAGCAAGAAGAGAATGTTCCATACTGGGTTTTCTCTCGTGGTTGACCCTAGTATAAAACATTGAAAAACTCACAGATCTTGCATTATGTGAGTTTAAATTTCTAGCTTCACTAACATTCAAGAGAAGGTAAGAGACAAAGCTATTGACTGAGGTGGGACACTGACAGACTTCCTTAAACCTTAAATATTCACATACCTAGTGCAGTACCTAATGCAATTTAATGCTCCAGTATTTTTCTTAGCATTACTTAAATGGATTTAGTTTTTATAGGCTAAACTCAGAACTTAGGCATCCCACAATCAAGTTGATTTGTATCAGGTAAGAACGAAGCGTGCGTACTTTGTCCCTCCGGAACGTGAGCAGGCTTCTTCATGGAGTCTCCACGCATGCGCCACCCACTGCTGGTGCTGCAAGTACAACCCTGCGTCCCTGGCCATCGGCGCATCAGCCCCCTTCCTACACAGGAACGGGACACTGCAATTCTGCCCGAGCTGCTTCCTGGACCTAGGTGTGCAAAATGACGCCTGCACTGACCTCACTGCAACCTACAGCCGAGTGCTGAAAGGACTTGCTCGCTTACTCTAGACCACACGGCTTCTGTTTGAATCCCTTATTCTTCCTGTGGTGCTACTGCTCCTTAGCATATTGAATGTTAATTCCTAAGTACACTCTTGCGCTAAATCAGTTTGCTTGTTGGTAACAGCCCCATCTACTCCACTCCTGTGCTGCACCACCTGTGCTGCAGTTTGTGTCCTCTGAATACAGCTCACAGAATTGCGTCCTGTTCCCCGTTGGCGGGTGTGTCCTCTTCAAAGCTGTAATCGCCTGCTGACATTTATACACCTACGTGCCCCGTACGCTAAGGAGTTCCTTCTCAACAGCTTGAGCTTTCTCATGCTTGGATCTATCAGGAAATAGGTATTTTTTTTCAAGATTCCTTGCTGATGATAGTAAAAATCGGCAAATGCCTGTAAAGTGTGGTTTCAGGTTGTTAACTGCTGACATAATATTTTTATTTTGATTGCATTTACACCCACGTTTAAACAATCAAGTTTAGCTCATAGTTATACTTGCTACATATTAGAGCTGATAATTAGTGCGCTCTCAAATTTGATACCCAAGTCAGCTCAGCCTGTCTGCTTAAAGTTTACTATTCAATCGCTCAACCCTGGGCTTAACTGCAAATCCTCCATCAAACGCTGCATTAAGAACTTCATCGAGGCAGCTCGCCATAACAAAAGTCAGATCTTGCCGTACATTCACTGCGATTTCTTCAAGATCTTTCTCATTTCTTCGAGGAATGATGATTCTCTTCAGTCCAGCTCGGTGTGCTGCCAGGACTTTGTCTTTAATTCCCCCAACCTAATAAGGAGAAGAAATATATATATGAAAAATCCATGACGCTAATCTAATAAAGTAATTATTGTAACAAATCACATCAGGAATTAGATTTTAATGAAAGGTCCTCCCTCACCCAATCATTTAGGAAAGCAATTAAAAATGCAGTAGCAGTTTTTGCTCATTATATGCTTAATGAGGGAAATATGTTAATATGCTACAGTCCCCTTTCTGTGACTGTTAATAATGAGGAAGAAAAATAAAATTAATACAGGAAAGCAGGTAAAAGTATCAATAGCTGAAAAGTCATTCATTTTCAGGAATTTCTTTTCTTAAGAAAGATGGCCTTAACTCAATTTTTTCATAGGGCATGCTGAACTCCTGCACCTGCATTAGAACAGCGGATTTTCTGATAAAGGCAGTATTGGGTTGAGGGGGAAAACAGCCCTAAGGATGCAACGCCACACGAGTAACTTGAGCTGTACAACAGAAAACACACAGAAACGCAAACCTGTGCTCCAAAACTGCAAGGATGGGTTTGTTCTAGAAAAACAATGGAGCTGTGCCTAAGCCTCCTCTTCGAGTTTGTGATGAGATGAAGAGAGGGCGTTTAGTTCAGTTGTTCTTTTAGTCACAGTTGTAGCTTCTTCCCCTTGAACTCTTTCCTAAGCCTACAGACCATCCTTCTTACAGAAAAGACCCAATAATTTTACAATGCTTTAGAGGGAAGCAAAGCCCTGTGTTCTAGCACAAAGTGTGAAATTGAGGCTGCTCTAAACCAAAGTGGTAGTGAGCCACGGGTCCTCGCGGGGATCGGTCCCGTCGGGACAACGCTACCTACCTGCCCGTGGCTTGCTTTCAGGCAGCAGAGGCAGTTAATGCATGCCCGCAGAAATTAAGAAATTACTAATAATGGTAAGAGTCTAGACAGCGTTCAGGAAGAGGGTAAACCTGGTGTAGTATTTACAGACACCTGATTTTTGCACCCACCTTAAACAGTAGGCAAAATTTGGTCACTGGCGTGCTAAGGCAATTTTTTTGGAAAGCCAAGCAAACTCGCACCAGATCAGAGTTAAGCCACTGTTTATTTTTCAGTGAACAGGCAGTCACGTCGGTCTCAGCCCCACCGGTGTGCCCTTTCAGAGATGCCTCACATCGGCTGCCTTACCGTGTTGTCCCCGGTTTGCTCTCTACTGCATGAAACAAAATGCAGTTTTCCAACTTGATCCTTGCTTTGTCATTTGGTATGAGGTGGTAACTCCTGTGTCTGCTTAATTACTTACACCCAGCTCCGTTTGATACTTGAAAGTAAAACTGTATTTTGAAAAAGCTTTACGGGAACACCATTCAGCTGAACTATACACAAGGAACAAAATTTAACAATCTAAAAAAATACATGTCTGGACAGGGCTGCCAGAGTAACCTTATGCGATTACTGTAAGAGCCTTAAGAAACAACTTTGCAAAGGAACAAGATGTAGTAACAGTTTGAGGAAGCGTGTTTATAAATTGCAATACGTTTTGGAACCATCTTGAGTTTTCAGGTTCCGAGGTTTCCTTTCAGACATTTGAAGGTGCTTTCCCTGACGGGCACCCAGGCGAGCTTTAACATGAACTGCAAAGCAGATGGGGGGTGGCACAGCACTACAGCGGGCTGGCTTCCCTCCGCCGCTCAAAACTGCACCAGGAGGGGCTGGATCACTGCTAAGGAATGACCCGGTGAGGCTTTGCTTTTGTGAGGAGCTAGAAACAGATTTTATATCCAGAACGTGGAGAATTAATACAACAACTTAGCTCTTTTCTCAGATGATGCTTACTGGAAGAACAAGGCCTCTTAGTGTAATTTCTCCTGTCATGGCTACATCTGAGCACACCAGCCGCCCACTGAAGAGTGAGGCAAGACAGGTTACTATGGTAACACCCGCAGATGGTCCATCTTTTGTGACAGCTCCAGCTGGGAAGTGCAGATGGATGTCAGTGTTGTCAAGGAGATCAAAACTTCCAGAAGCTTAAGGGAAAAAAGAATGGTTTGAATGTGAAAAATCGAAACCCATTTTGTTCCTGGTCTTTATTCTAAAAGCCCACCAGAGAACTAAAAGTCTTAGTGTTATTTTTTAACAGTAGGCTGAAAAAACACCATGTTGCAGAGGCCCAAGAAAAACAAACCCCAACAAGCTTTCCTACATCCAGATTCCTAGACAAAACTGTAGCAAGTTAATGGATAAGCTCAGCATTTGCATGTGTTGGGAAATTCAGAGTAGGGAGTAATGTAGGAACCAAGGAATTCCTACACAGCATTTTTAGGGGGTTTTTTATGTCCCAAACCGTAAGTGTCAATTTTCAGAGAACATGCCACAAAATCAGCACTCCACAGAAACCCAGTATCAACCCGCATGATAAACTAAATGTCTCACTTCTATCTTTTCACCTTACTTACCTGTAGGCCATAACCCTGTAAACTAGTGAGGTAAACGTGTATATAGTTGATGCCAGTAGTGTTTCACACACCAATGCAATTTTGTTTTTTCACTATCTAAATTTCCATAAATAATGACAGATACTGGACGATTATTTGACTATTCAGCAGATGGCCAAACTAGAAAGCACACTTCTAGACCTCTTGGGAGTTTCAAACAAAACCCAAGAGAGTTAAAAGTTTCTTGGCTGAAATCCTATTGCACTGCAAGTTCAACGGCTGCCATACAAACCCAACTAATTCTCAAAATACGAAAACAGACTACAAAAACCTCCTTTTAACAGAACCATATATTGCAATAAGAGGCCAATAGAAGCACACGATCTCTGTGATGCAATACAGTTACGCATGATCTCATTTTTCCCCAACCTACCGTTGGTTAGCTGATATCTCTTTGCATTGCTGCGCAACCAGCTGATTGCAAGATGTGCCGACTCCTTCATAACATCTCCGAGCTGACCCGTCAAAGTAAGCTGACCTTCCCCATCCATGCGACTCGCTTCTACAAACATGATCTCTCCCCCTAGGGGCGTCCAAGCCAAGCCTATGGCTACTCCTGGCTGACTTAGGCGTTCAGACACCTGAATGAAAAGAACACAGGGAACAGTTGTAACAAAACTATTGCAAAAACAATTTGATAGTTGCCTTCAAAACAACTGTACCCATTAAAACACAGAAGTTAAGCCCATGTGTCTGATTTTTTAATATTTTTTTTAATGCAGCAGTAATTCTTTATGTGTAAACATTAATTACAGAATAGGAGCTGTATGTGGCTGCTTCACTTAAAGCAACGGCAAACATCTGGGTATATCATTCTTGAACCTTTCCCCACCCCCAAAGGTTCAGTGAGAATCTTTCTCTTCAAAGGATTTGAAGTATTTAGTCAATCCTGACTGAACGCTTAATCCATCTGCTAGAGGTATATTTGCCCTGTTTGTTACTTACAGGAAAATGCCAGTTTTGCTCCCAAATGTTACCTGAAAGCCTTTTCAAAGGTGGCTGCATTGCCAAGCTACTGTCAGACAACACGCTGATTTTGTTTGTTCCAAACATTTACAAATAATTTTGAATAATGACAACACAAGTCTGCTAGCAGGCTAGATACAAAAGAGGATGGGAAATCTGAGGGACTCCCATTAGTAATTACAAGTAGTTAAGCAAGCTCTACCCCCGCAAGACCATGATCTACTTATCTACAAGTCTGCCTGTGCCCAGTTACTGATGGGAGTAATGGAGGTCTCTGAATCCCAGCCTCCTGTGTTAAGAGAAGGAAAGAGGCGGATGTTTTCCATGGAAGTTCCAGGTTTGGATTTTTTTTTTTTTTTCCTTTGTCTGAAAGATTCTTTTAGAATATACAGTAAATCCTTTTGTTTTCCTGAGCTTCCAGGAGATGAAGAAACCCTGATGAAAGATCTTATAGCTATTCACCACATTCTGAACTACTAAGATAGTGTTTTTTCCGCTAGCATCAACTCGTCCTGCACTGTGCAACTTACTGTAATCTTCATGCTTTCATTTTGCTTCCTTCTGAGAGTTAGCAGAGAAGTAAACTAATCAAACTTTGTACGGACACTGCCAAGGTAAAGCTCTGTATACAGGACGTTGACTTGCTTCTAATCATCAGCCCAGCTGCAAGATCACAGAAATCTGTGTAGAAGCCTGTACAGCCGTGCACCTCGGGGCTGGAGGCAGAAATACCTGTACAGCTCTGCTGTGAGCGGCCTGCATTAGAAATACTTCCGATTCGCGAGCTCCAAAGACAGTAAGTTATTAAGAATTCTAGTCCCTTACTACAATGCCTCTCTGTAAGCCCACCAGAAATGCTGCTGCAGGTCCCCAAGGCCTGAAGTTTTGCAAGTCCAACAGCAGCAGTGGATTACCTAAGCAGAACAATACAGCCTTCCATCAGATTACCAGAACAAGAAATCTCTAAACAGGAACCAAATATTAACATTTCCCTATTAGGCTGGAATCCATCCCCATCGTAAAAACAAAATCAAACTCAGGACCATAAAATTCGTAATGTTCAGTTTCTCGTTCCTGTTTGACAAGGAAAGAAAACTGCTTCGTTTATGCAATAAGAGTGAACAGCTGGCACCTCTGGTTACTGGCCAAAAAGAGATGCACATTTTAGAAAAATAAGCTCATTTACAAACACACAAGTTGTGCTACTTGTAGCTGTAGACAACTCGCATATATGACAGGAACAACTTGCTCATGCAAGAGAACTGGTGAAGCAAAAAATAAAAAGCATTTAAAGTCTTCCAAAATTAAATGAAACATACACGCTTCTTGTTATAATTTCTGATTTTGTATTTTATGCGTTGCCAAATGCTATACTGAACTATCAAGCGCTGTCATCTTCTGAGTTTGATGACTAAGAGTTGACATGTGACCTCGTTTCAGGATCGCTGTTTCTTGGGTTGAGGGAATGCAGCACACGGCAGCGGCACAGCACACGCAGTGCCAGCTCTGGCTCTAGCAAAGCATTGCTGATACGGGAGCTCCTGGCGCAAACGAGACTCCAGCCGTCAGGAGAGACAAGCAGCAGAGGCCGGTGGGACTGGTGTTACACTCCTGGATCTAGCTGACAAGCAGGTCAGTTAGTAACTACACTTCTCTCACGCTACAGCAGAGGAAGCCACACAGCCCCTTCTCCTTGGTTCTCTTGTGGCTCTCAGTTACCTACACATTTTCAATGACATCACGCCATTTACTTTTATTAGTATAATTTAGCTAGAATGGCTGTTTCTTTTTCTAGCATTTAAGAAATTGTACATAAGAATATCAAAATACCTCATCAAGCATTTCCATTTTCATTAACGTAAGTTTCTATATCCATTCCCTGTGTTTATTAGTTACAGTGACTTATTCTGATTAGCTTAGTAATTGCTTAGTAACTCAGGTTAACAAAATGAAATCATCCTGGTTACACTGAAATCCAACAACACTGAAGCATTCTCCTTTACACTTGAGACAATCATGAATTTTGGCAACCTGTCATGGTTTCAAACATTTCAGACATAATGAACAAAAAGTAACTGTCCATCCCCTCCACCCATGCCAAAGTAGCCATCAACAAAGTCTGTTGGTTTGGGTTTTTTGGTTTTCTTTTCCTTTTTTCGGACTGGATGTCAGCACTGGCTCTAACTGCGTATCACTTCAAAACAGTTTACAGACTAATTCCACTGTTTGAGAGCTCAGGGGCAGAAAATAGCGAACATAACTAAAGATCAAAACCCTAATGGTTCTAAAGACTCATTTATCTCACCTCAGTACAAACTCCTTCCTCAGACGAGGTAGGTACCCTCCTCCTACTTTCACAAGTAAGTTGAGATCTGGTAAGAGAAACTAGGTGTGTAATAAGCATTAATCACCTTTCAACCATCATTCTTCACACTAACTGGTAGACTCAGAGGCCAAGCAACTTCTCTGACTGTACTACCAGAGACTCCTCACCTAAACAGTAACTGATGCGAGCTGACAGACAGATGTATAGAAAACGCCCTGGCAACTTTGATAACCGGCTTCAGAAAAGACCCTTGAAAATCCCTAAAAACGCACACACACAAAACCCCATACGAGCATACAATACTCAGAGGAAAGTACGTTATATTACATTAACCACACATACGAAGTGTTAGAGTGAGCTCCGCAAACCTGAATCACTCCTGGTATCTCTGATAATTTCTTCTCACAAGAAGTCAGAGGAATCCTTACTTACACTTTTTAAACAACTTCAATTACAAAGGACCATTAGAATCAGCTGATGACTGGTCCTGTCTGTCAGATGATGCAAGAAGCGGTCACTGACCTACATAAACGGTCTTGTGTTTTGAAAATTTTTGTAGACAAGACCCAGCTACTATTTAACTGTAATCTGAGTAGATGAATATACTGTCCGATACATTTTAGCTGCCTCGACACGACAAAATTAAAAGTCTTAACATACAGCACAGTCATTTACTTTAAAATATTTAAGGTTGTTCCAAGATAAAGGACAAGAGACATCATCCGCAAGTCTCCAATTTTGGAGCTACTTTATAAGTCAGCATAATTGACAAAAAGCAATTAAGTCACTGATTCATAATGGGAAGATGAGAACCAGTCCCAAGTTACTTGCTGGCCTTTAGTATCTCTGTTATCCTTCTATCCCAGCCTGACTGTACAAACCTTTTTTCTAGTCTACTCTCCTGATTCATTCCCTAGCAGGCAAAATATGTAACAGCAGCTTTCCTTCAAGGGAGGAGGATTTCCCAGAAAGATCACAAGACTGATATTTCTTAGATAAAAATGCCTATCTAAACCTGTGCTTTGTACAGGTTTTGCTTCTAAAAGATAACCTAATTTGTTCCTTAACTACAATTGCGTACGCCCCATGAAACGGAGCTACTCTTTTATGGGATCTGCACTTCATTTAGGTAATTTCACTGACCTACGGCTCCTGTCACTTCAGCTTCTCTCACATTATGAGAATACAGACTAATTCTGACGGGCTTTCCTGTGGTGCCAATAATGTTTTGTTAACTGAGCAGAATTAAGAATTGAAAAAAAGAAAAAAAAAAGGCTGAAATCCAAGTGAAAAGAGAAATACTTCATTATAAACACTCCGTATATGTTATAAACCCTTTCCCTCAAAAGCATCCTGTGCTGATACATTTCGTTAAATCTTTTACACTTTAAACTACTGTCAAGATTATTCTTCCAAAGCCTTACTATGTGATTTATTCCAACATTTGTTCTCTAGGGTGACACGTAAGATTATTTATTTGTGATAAATGAATTAATCCTACACGTATGAGCTGAGTATTCTGTCACGCCTTTCTGCAGGGAGACCTCCGCAGAAAATATACAAGCAATGCACTGAAAAGGTGAAAGATGAATCACTTATTTTAAGGCATTTCCCTGGAGGACAACAGATCAATTAAGTCATGTCATGTTTTCAGTTCTATTTGCTCAGTCTCATCCAAGTACTGACATGGTGGCTGCCTCCATTGTATCTTTATTTCAACTAATTATAAATGGCAAAATGCAGGTCAGAGGTGAAGCTTTAAAGGCTGGGTATAGAGAGACACACCGCAGAAAACACACCAGTAGCCAATCTGAAACGCCTGTCATTGGGACAGGAGCTATACTCTTCATTTGAAAGAATCTTGGGGGCACTTGAGAAAATTCAAAGGAAGAATAGGTTACTTGGGAAAGTTCATTAGAACAGGAGTTGCTGTCTGAGCGATTTACATTGAAAAAATCATAAAGTGTGCACTGAAAAATATTTACTCATTAATAAATACAACAAATAGTACACATGAAAATAAATCCTGAGCTGCTCAGGGAACTGATGCTGTGTGGATTCATCTCTAGTTCTATTTATGCACTACTTAATTTGCCTGCTAAATATGGAAACATTTAAAAAACCTTTGACAGGTCAAAAGCTTCAGTCAGTCTTATTTCAGCTTATACAGGCCAGCAGATCCATGAAATGCTTATATGCATATTCATGCCAACTGTTCATGCAAAGAGAACCCAGCCCAGCACTCATGTATTTGTATATTTGGAATCAAGCACCAGACTTCAAAAATTTTACTTGCACTACTTACTCCTGTAGAAAAAAAGGCAAAATAGCAGAAATTATTTGCCAACACAGCCACACTACCAAACTTAAATGAATAATCAACTCGAGAAAAAGCTCAAAACTAGGCAGAACATGTAAGGCAAGGCACATATTAGCGTATTTCTTGGCCTACAATCTAATTTTTAAAAAGTGTGATAAGTTCACATTTATTTGAATTATTTCTACTCTTGACTGGGAGTACAGTTGCAAGTGACCAAAACTTTTGTGCAAATTTACAAAATTAAATTAACTTTTCAGCACCTGTATGAAAGTAATAAACACTGTTTGTAGAAATCAGTACTGGCTTGAATATTAAGTTCAATTTACTACAATGGCTTTATGTGCATCTGCAGTTCAGGCACTAAAAAGCCAAATGATTCTGCAGTGCTTTAGCTCCAAAGAACAGATGTCTGAAGTATATAACATACTTCAAAATGAAAATTCAGATATAATGTTATTTCTCTGAAAAAACCCCACGTGCTATTTTTCAGTAATTGTTTCTAAAAGTCAGGTAGTGATAAAAAGACAGGCAGACTCGTAAAAATATCCACAGGAGCATTATAAATGGTCTGATAGCTACAGTCATCCCAAATCAAGCTGAAGTATATCCACACTACCTTCTTAATTAAAATGGCCTTAAACTGTCTTGTGTGATTTTATTATCGGGCATAGCAGCTTCTGAGGGATGAAAAGAATGAACATAAGTTGCTTACAATAAAGTCATTTGCCTAAAGAGCAATCTCTTCTCATTTCTGGAAGTAAAAAGACATAAATCAGAACCCAAATGACCAATGTGAAAAAACTCAGCCAAGAGAGTCCTAAGGTACTGGTTTCTTGGATCACCTGGTCTTCCTTGCCTCCCGTTCCCCCCAACTTCCATTGCCACCATCATCATTCTCGAACACAATTAATAGAGCTGTTTTCTTTCAACTTGTTTCCTCATTTCTGTCTCTTTGTTAAGAATCTCTTCCATAAAATCTTTGTATTCAAAAACCCCAGTTCAGGTCTACAAACTGACTCATTCCTTAACAATCATTCCTTTTCTCTTGCTTCCCCTGCGTATCGTGTCCCCTTTTTACCCTCCAAATCCCACTGGAGTCTGGTTCTCTCATTTAGGAGAGAAGAATTATCACAGGAAAGTTCATAAAAGTTTGAATTTTGTCTTTTCTGGAAGTTTCCCTTTCATTTCTATTTTCTCCCTAACTTACTGGTTTACTGAACTTTTCTCCAGCATAAAGACAGAAAAATTTAGTGTTCCATCAGCAACCGGTTTCCTGTCACAGTGTTATATATACTACTTACACTCAGTCAGTTCACCTGGACCTGAAGTAAAGCAGAGAATTACTGCAATGTACATGGTAAAAAGAGAACCCCAAACTAACAAACTACTTTAATTGATGGCATTGTCATAGCATATAACAAAATACAGATGGGGGAAAGAAAAAATTCTGGAACATGCCTACTGAGGAAGAGAGCTGGTATTAGGAAGCTGGAGGTGCCTCACTGATCATAAAATATTTTTAACAGCTAAGAGTCACATTAATCTAAAGAATGTCTGAGAACTCCTGGTACAAACTGAAGTGGGTTTAATACACAAAAATGCTGACTGGCTTTAAGGAGGTATGTGGGACAGTCCTTAACACAGCTGCCTCAGAGACAGGATTCCTGGGTTCTACTTTTGGCTTCTTTCCCAAGACCAAACATCCCCCAAACAAAAGCAAAGTTGTTATAAACTGAAAAAACACCATCGCATTCTTAAGCACTGCTGCAGGCATCTTTGCTAACAGAAAGTCATACCATTATGTTATTTATGTACCCTAAATTAAAAGAAAATAAAACAAAAGCTTCTTTAGGTGAAAAAAACACTTGGTGGAACACAAAGAAACACAGTTCTGTTACTAATACATTTTTTAAAAAGGTTAATATTGTATAAACTCAATCAATAGACAACTACTCAAGCCAGACAGAAACAGAAGTCAAGCAGAAACAAATGAGGATGTTACCTCCATTTCATACATGGGTGGACCCAGGATATCTTTTAAAGCATGGAAATCAATTAAAATCGGCATTTCAGGTGGCAGAGCCAGGTCAGCTGTTTCACTGATGGCTTCTGGTTTTGCATCTTCTGTGACATGCTCTTTGCAATCTAAGAGAAAAAAAAATCTAATTTAGGATTTGTACCAGTTTTTCTTGGCATAGGAATTAAAAAAATTATGACAGAAAAATAAAATATTCAAAGAAATGCTTAGAAAGTTCATGAAAGTGTGCTTAAACCATCTTTCACAAAAATCTTGTCAAATTAAAGATAATATGGCATCAAATTTAACTATTAAGCCTAAACACATTCTAACTGTTCACCAAAGATAATGTTAAATCTAGAGCACTGACACGAGATGCAGCTCGCTTAAATGCATTTTAAACTAGGTTGAAGAGCGAAACACATTAAGTTCATTTAGGACTTTTCATCAGATTTATGCACAAACCCAGCATTTTTAGGAGATGATCATGTTTAATGTAGTGCAATATAGAATACGGAGCTGAATGTGGAAATGCTGAAAGTTCAGTAACTACTGTTCTTTTTACTTACATTTACAACTGTGCTCTCTGTGGTCTCTTTCCGCAAGGATTTAAATGCTTAACTTCTGATACTAATAATTAAGTTCTGTCAAGTAAAGTAGGAGCATTTTGGCCAGATTTACATACATAGCTTTGCCACATGACTGCACTACTTAGAGGTAGCCTGCATGACATTCAGTAACATCTCATTTCACAGTATCCAACTAGGACAGCGTAACTTACTGCTCTGTACCTCTGCCTTCCTCACCCCACACCCCAATCCCCCCCCCCCCCCCCTCAACAGCAGCTGACCAGGCGCAGGAGAAGCTGCTACATGTAGATCACATGGAAGCCAGCTCCACCGGAAGCCTAACTCATCCAGCCCTGGTGTGCCGCCTCCTTCCAGGCTGCCAGGTGGAACCACTACCCCAGCATAGCACAGCCCGCCTTTACTGCAGCCTGTGCAGCACATATATTGACATTACACTTTTTACTTTGATTTTTGTCTCTTATGACTATAATGTCTTTACTCAGTCATAGAATTGCTTGGGTTGGAAGGGGCCTTTAAAGATCATCTAGTCCAACCCCCCCATAGACAGGGACACCTTTCACTAGATCAGGTTGCCAAATTCACAAAATTGATGTCCCTCATTTGTTGAACAGCCAGTTCAGATCCCAGCAGATACAGCCCTTGCTCAGTGGAGAAACCTCAAATAATTTCAGTACAGCTTCACCTATGGCTTTTGTCTTGAAATCTTACACAGGGCTCTGCTCTTTTCTTTGTTGGATGAGATATTTAGAAGACGTCTTGACCAATAACCACTAGCAGCAAAAAATTCCTCAAAGATCAAATTACTGGGCATTTTCAGAAATACCTACAGGTGTGATACACTCTTCAGGAAGGGCTATAAAACCCAATTAGCCTGACACTTTTGAACGCAATATACTCAAGCACCATCAAGAAGGGACCACATAATTAAAGCAATAGCTATGGATTCAAAAGCGTGCTCTTTCCTTCCTCCATTTATAGTGTGATTGTATTTCTTACCTATACGATTGTTTCCTTAAAATTTCTGTTTTCTCTACAAATGTGTTTTCTATACAGAAGTGAGCTGTAATGGGGACCATATAAATATCAAAGCCTCAAAATGGTTTTAAACCAGACTACACAGCCGGTTGTTTGCATTAATAAGCTCAAGAACTTAAACATCCTTTGTACTAGGCCTACACTGCACATTTACTTAAGCGACTGTATACAGAAGGAGAATGTAAGCAAGGAGTCACTTCCACACAGAATTTGATCCAGATGCAAAAGGCTCATTACCATTTTCTCAAGAGCCCTAAGCAATATTTTAGTGAAACCTGTATCAGAGAAATGAAAATACTTGAACAATCCTAATGTTTCTAAGGTTCTGTGGCAGTTTTATGGCAGTGTCTCCCTGCCCTGAGGCTGCCATTAAGAAAAGCATTGTACACATACATATAGTGAAGATATTTCTTCCCACTCCAAAACCACAAGCCTAAGATACGTTTAAAGTGACAGTCTATATTACACAGGACTGTATACTGAGCTTCAAGACTTCTGCACCGTATTTTGGGAAATCACCTGCTGTTGCTTCCTTTCTTTGAATTCTTTTTTACTTTCAAGGAAGAAACTGTCTTCCTTTGCATATTAGTGCATGCACAGTAATTGAAGAACCAGGAATTTAAACAACTACAGAAAAACACCAATCACTGATCTAATCTAATATAGTATTAAGAGGTGTTCTGTGCTGCAAAAGTGATTCTCAGAATGGATGAGGAGAGAATGCCTCCTTTTACAAGATACAAACTATCCTTTTATTATTAATCCTGACATATAAAGGCCTTTTTACAGTTAATTTTGTTGCAGCGCAGTTCTCACTAATGCCTTCATACACTATATGAAGGAAAACATTCTACATCAGTATTACCGTAACACCACCACCAGCTTTCATTCAGGACTCAAATCTAATAGTTATTATCCAACAGCCACTAATCTTTCCATTGTACAACTCATGGCTCTGTGCATAAATCCCATTCCCTCATGGTAAATGCTGCCTTAGTCAGATGGCCCTCCTGTTGTTCCAGCATGTCTCTGTATTTTTGTTGAACTACTATTTCTGTACATAACAAATTCAAATACATAAATACTAGCAAGTCTAGGAAACATAACCCTGCATGCTATTCTTGCAACTCGAACTGCAATTTCAACACTACAGATCTTCAAAACCTAAGAAATTTGATATGACAATTCATATTTTAAAAAACCCCTGAGTTCAAAACCAACTGCTTTTGTTCTGTACCAAATTTTACAGCCTAAGAAACACAACTTTCCATTTCAGCTTGCTCTTATTTCACCTAGTTCTACCTATAGAGCTGGAGGAGACAGACTTGTCATAAACACATCAGTAGGTAATTTTTGAGGCTACCTGCCCTATTAAAAGAATCAAAAATGCTTTCTCTGAGTTATTATATAGTCTTATTAGTAGACTCCATTTGGTAATCTGTAACAATAACAAACCCCAGACTTTTTCTAAAAATATTAACCTGAATTCTGACATTATCTAATTTTCTATAAAAGCATACAGTGATGTTCCAAAACATAACAATTACTAGCTTTTCCTTTGAAGGAAAAAACATCTTTCGCCACCTTTACAGAAGTGCTGACTATGAAGAATCTAGAAAGATGCAAGTAATTAAGATTGCCATTAATGATGACAAATACATGTTCCCTACCTATCCCAGATGAATAACCATAAACCATAGTACAAGTTAAATGACACATTTATCTAAAACAAGAAAGTTAAATTCAGGTTTCCAGAAACACAAGTTTTGGTTAGGACAACAGCTTACTCATCTTCCATTTTGAGTTAAGTTGAAGAAATAAGCTAAAAAGCCAAAGAAGTGCCTTTAATCGAGCTCCACACTGCACTGGAGGAACCACCTGCTGATCTACTACTACATTACTGCTTAAACAAAAGCAGCATGGTACTGAGCTGTTTTAATATTTCAAAGTTGGAAAAACTAAAAAAACCCTCGAACAACAACAATAAAACCCCAACAAACAAAACCCAAGCAAATAAAAAAACCCAACCCCCCCCAAACCAAAACAAACCCCAAACAAAAAACCACCAAAACCTCCAAACACTCTGCCACGCCCCCCCACCCCCAATTCCAAAAAACAACCAACGAACCAAAAAAAAGACAACTATGTTTGTAAGATTTTCAGAGCAGAATCTGCAGCTACTCAGCGAAGATCACAACAATGTTCCTTGGCAATCTGCCTTTGCAAATTCCCAAAACAAAAGAAAATCTTGCATGTAGTACTGGATTTGTAAGAAAATGGACTCCTAAGAAAACATACTGACAATGAACTACTGTATATAATTCAGGATTTAATCTAAAAAGGAATTACATGGCATGAAGACAAAGATTTAAGAATTTAAGACTGCTACTTTCTTCTAGAGATATAATGGAAATGAGTTAATAGAGCTGAAAACTTCCTCAACATATAGCAATTTCTCAGCTCCTCATAAAACATATTTAAATTAAGCACTGGTCATACATAAGTCTTAAACCCAAAGATTTCTAGCCATACTCACTGGCCAAGATAGAAGAATACAATAGAAACCTAAATTTTTTTAAACATATTCTGATTTGCTGAATTGCTATAAAAAGGTACAAGAAAGAAGATAAGCATGAAAGAGTAGGTGTCAAGTCTGGGGGCAATTAAAGGGAAAATAGAATGTTCTTTTTTTTCATCTGATTTACTAGCAGATGCTTCAGCACATGACGGACAGACCCAGCATTCTTTTAGCCCCTCCAAACTAGCTCCACAAAACTACATTTAGGTAGGAAAGGATAGGATTGCCCTTGCTGACACCAATCCACATTCAAAGCCAGACATAACATGAAACTACATCTTAAAAGCAACTTTCCATTGTCCAAATTAAATCTTATGCACTACATACTTGGGAAGTGTTACTTCCGAAAGATTTTCTTTTGGGAAGGAACTCCTTCCTGGGCCCCCAATCCCACTAACACTTACTTGTAAACTTACATTTAATGCTATGTGCATATTTCCCCACAGGATGAGAAAATAATTACATTCCATCAATTCTTATCTTCAATAACATGTACTTGAAGCACTTGAATTCGAGGTTTTCATGCAGGAATAGTTAGATAAATTAACACGGTAAAAAAATAGTTTGCATATAAACCCAACTTTTCATAATATTTATGCCTCTTTGGCCTAAAACAGAAAAGACATTCCAAGCAATTTTTAGAAACCACCACATATTATTACAGTCTGCAGAGCTCATAAGTATCCTAATGCCGGCACAGCTGAGCTCAAACTTGAGTTCCTACAGTCATACCACCGTGGGATTTATGCTGATCAGATTTCATTTCCCAGTGCTATGGAAGATTCGGTGCTGCTAAAGTGCTGAGTTTTGGCTAGAACATAGAACGGCTCACTTTTTGCAAGAGCAGTGATGTTAGCCCAGCTGTATTAAGGCCCTTATACATACTAAAAGCAAGCAACACCCCCCCCCCCTCAGTCATGCATAACAATGTGTTGTGAATAAAATGCATTACGCCCAAGTTGAGGGAGGACAGTAAAGACTACATGTTTCACTTTACATTGACCACTTCAGTCTAACTTGTATTTAAACTCAAACTCAAAACCAAGTGTTGTTTCATCCACAAGGAGTAGAACAAACTGTATTCTATTACTGGGTTATGGAAATACTTAAATATTTTCAAAGCCTTGGTTTCAACATAGATAGAATTCTCATTTAACCACTTTTAATTATTAAATATTACCTGTCCTAAAACTCTTTTCAAGTCTGAATTAGACAAATAATTTTTTACTCTGGGTTTCAACTGTTGTATCTTGATATGATGCCTTAGTGCACAGTTGCTGCATTGTGTTCTCAAGGCAGTTACACTAAAATAGGAAGGAGAGTTTCACATATTTTTGTGACTCCTAGAATTTCTTCTAGTGTCAAAGACTAGATGAGTGTCTCATAAATCTTAGATAGTGTTTCAGTAAAACATCAGATAGTGTAACTGTACACAAGGATGACTCCCTGGAGAGGTCTGAAAAATGACTCCATTTGCTTTTGCTGAAGTTCACTGTACAAATTCAACGACTGACGCAAACTAACACTCCTCCACTTGCCAACTTCATCATAAAGCTCAGGAGTCAAAGGAGCAAGGAAGGCAATACAAAGCTGCCAGTGTATTTCAGTCATGCATTTTTGGAAAGCGCTAAACACAGCTTGACAGCGTATCTCCTAGCATCAGTTCTGCTATGGCAGGTATCCTCCATTTTTAGAGCCTACTATCAAAGTGTCAAAAGCCTAATGTTTAGAAAGCCTTAAAAACAGATGCTCCACTTTGAGTCAATAATTGGATTTAATCAATACAATGATGGAAATTTTGTGGTTCTACCACCTAATGTCTTTCAACTTTTATTACAAATCCATAAGCCAGAAGGCGCTCAGCTGAATAAACACAATCGGCACCATGTTACCATTCTGATATGCTATGAATCATACATAACTTTAGCAAGTTAGATCTACAAGGCAAGATGGTAGCTTGCTCTCTCGTACTCACAACTCATGACACATGAATGCACTAACTGTGAAGTCTCAGTCCCACATCAGTAACTGACAAATGCATAAAGCAAAAAAGAATTATAGGTCTTTTCATATAGATTTAAAAAAAAATAATCAAGTAATCCTAAATGAAACCATTAAGAGACAACAACTTGATTAACTATTCTTCCAAGTCATTCATTATATGAAATAAAAATTCATCATCACTACGCACAACTGCACAAATGTCCACTAATCAACAGGAAAAAAAAATCCAAAGAAATAAATTTAGGCTACAAATCCCATTATTTGCATCAACTTGCAAGTATTTGGGGATATTTCTGAGTTTTGTTTTAAATACTTGGTTGTTTCCAACAGACTGAATGAAAACTAAGCAAAAATGTTTTTAAAAAGCATCCTACTCTCATACACTCCCAACAAGCGACATACTCTGCTAAAAATACAGCAGGGTATAAGCACATTATTAGTACAAAATAAAACACATTTTGCAGACTGCACCATTCTATACATGTCATTGTAATATCAAAGTTTAACTATAGAGCCACCTGTCCCTTGGACTCCCTTTTATAAATACAGCTTTTTCTTATGAACAGTTTCAATTCCAGAAGTACAAAGGCAACTCTTCACAGCTCATTTCTTCTGGGCTTACTTCAACTTGTCCGTCAACCAAAAATGCTAGCATTTTGCCCTCTTTTGAAGCACTTAGCTTGCCGTTTTCACTTAGCTTTGGTAAGTTGCAAGTCCAGTACTAATTTTAACAGTGTATAATTTTAACAGTGTAAATACCTAAGTTACAAGTACAGTGCTAATTTTAACATTGTAAATACCTCTCTCACTGGATAGAGATGTCTAATACAGTTCCTTTTTATTCTTTGCTTTAATAGTAAAATGTTTCTTCTCATAGTGTCAGGCGTTGTGCTCTGAACCTACTTTTCGCTTACTTTATCAGAAAGCTTGAAGAGCAGACTGACGCTTTTTTTTATTCAGCAATCTTAGACCTTTTAAGCACGTCTTAGACACAGCTACTATTCAGTGTAAAGAAATACTTTAAAAATATGACTTGTCAAAATTACTATCAAAAAAGTGACAGTAGCAAAGGCACTGCTTTGATGCTAGTAAGCCTGGCCACCACAGCCCAAAGGCTTGGTGTTCTGGTTCAGGAGCAAGTTCAGGTATCACAGAAGGTACCGACAAACTCAGTGTTTGACTTCAGAAAAGTCCAGCACAGAGGACAGAAGGTAGACAAGATGCACATAATATAAATGGAAAGCATTAATAAAAATGTCTTGAAAGTTCTTCCTTTTAATGTAGATGGGACAGTTTAAACTGCACAGTCATTCATGCACGCACAGCCACTGCTACTGTGAGAGTTCACTTTCTTTAAGCCAAACATTCAGAGAAAACTGAGCTGAATCCACTTAAGCAAACACTGATTTGTAGATCAAATTCAATCTTCTGATACTACAGTTTCCACAGACATTATGATGATCTTAGAAAACTCACCAAGGTAAAAGAAAATTTAATTTTCAGAAGGGAAGTACCAAGTTAGGGAAAAAAGGCAAGGTAAAGCTGAAAGACCATCAATAAACAGTCTTCCAGAGACAAATGACAAAAGTTTTTACTTTTTTTACTTTTGGGTAAAACTTTTCTCCATATACTTTCCTAATTAATACCACTGTTGATACCAATATTGGTTATATTTCCTCCCGCAGGATTTACTCTCTGAAAGGGGGACACACCATTCAGACTTCTAAGCTGCCTTAATTTTAAAGGAACAGATAATGAGTCATCTTATTTGTCCTCCTCGAAACTGGTCAAGAACTATTCTAGCTGTACAGATGTTAAAACTTACATTTTTTTCCCACACTGGCTTAGCTGTGGAATCTTTCATAATATCAAACCAACAGGGGTCTGTTTACTATTTTAAATTTGTGAGTATTCTGGAGCAAAAGTAAGCAGCCATTCTGCAGTTTTTGCTTTCCCATGTCCTCTGGCACACAGTTATTCTCTGACAGACTGGCAGTATTTCTTGTCAGAAAGTGTCACCTGGACTCACTGCAGTCTTTAAAAAACAAATAAAACACCTGACACCCTGCTTGCTATATTTTGTTTAAGGACTACCCACATTTTAGAACTTCAACTTCAGGTTTGGATTCTGTCCTTTCACATTTCTAATCTACCTTGAACTGTGGGCTCCTGCAGACATCTAGTGCTGCAGTGAGCACTCTGAAACCTTCAACAGAAAACTTCTGTGTACAGTGAGATCCTCCATCAGCAACTGGCTGCAATAAAAGCACAACTGTCTATGTGCTGCATGGTATATTTCAACAAACACAGTATGGATGTTCAACTTCATTTTTATTACAGAGAACATTAATTTGGGGATGAAAAAGGGAGCAGTCAGCAGTTGCATTTGCACATGAACTGGATTATGGGCCTGAGTTCTTCCTTCCCCACTTATATTTCAAGACTAGAAAGAGGTCTACCTTTACTGGTGAAGTAGTTACCTGAGTATTTTTGCTGTTTGAGAATTTTATGCTTAGCTTCCAGTCTGTTGGATGACTGGGAATGATAAAGGACTATTGCCTGTATACAGGGGAAATAAGAACAGACTTCCTGAAGCTGACAAGTTACCAAAGCTCCAAGTGACTTAGAATAAGTGCAGTCTTAAAAGGCACATAAAAAGAACTGCTAAACCTTTCTAATTTCAAAGGTCTTCAAGCAGACATTTATATTAGAGTACAACAAAATAACCCAATTGAGTTCTGAGCTGGTAGAGCATGCGCAGCACAGTTAAAGAACCTCTTTAACTACAATAAGTAAAGCCATGCTTAGTTTTTTATTAAAGAAAAAAAAAGTGAAATATTTGTGTAAAAAAGCCTAGGAAGACATAAGACCATACACAAATCATAATTGCATACCCAAGATATGAAGCAGATCCATTGTACTTTTCAATTGCCAACCTGGCAGGCTGAAATTACTCTACTTATGTCCAAGCCATAATTCAGCACTACTTGAACCATGCTTAATAAGAATGTCATTCTATTTGCAAAGCTTTTCAAAACAGAGCCCTTAAAGGAGCATAAAAAAGGATAAAAGGTTGATAAATCAGCTTCCTAGTGACTACATGAGAAGTTTCCTTTTTAATAAAACATGCAAAAAATACCTTCTCCTTCACCCGCTTCAGCTCGATCTGGCTTTGTTTCTTTGTGCTGTCCTTCTGCCACTTTTACCGCCACTGCTCTGCAAATAGCTCCCAGCTTCCGATCCAGAGAGCGGACTCCTGCCTCTCTAGTGTATCTAGCAGAGAGACAATTGTTTTACTGGTGGATATTCTTTGTAAGACAGATTTCATTTGAATGTAAACACTCCTCCTTTTTAAAAATACACCCAAATAAAATGAGATGTGAAAGGCAGTAAGACTTTGGGTTACTCTAATAAACAGGAAAAAGAAATCATGCTTTTATCAAAATAATTGTGGTTTCCTGATAAAATTGTAAAGGATGATAAATTACTGAGTGGGAAGAAGACATGACTAACACCTAGTGTCAAACCTTAGTAAAATGCTAAACAACGCTCCGATAGCATTGAGCTCTTCTCAGATGCATAAAAATTAGAAGGAAGAACTATTTTAAAACTCAAAATGTAGCTTACTGACAGTTGAGGAACTGACTGTAAAAAAATATTTTCTTTTAGTCTATGAATTAAAAAGAAAGATCAGACAATAACACTCACTAAATGCCAAAATGCTGTTCCTGGTCATAAAATGCTTCAATTCATTGAATACTGATACACTTTTTCCATTGGAAATGAGCTAGTTTCAAGTCCAAAAGATGTTCTGATCAACATCTTTGCTCTCATGTCCAACAAAGTAGTAGTTCTTAATACATGCTATTTAAAGTACCAGATTTTACTTTTTTTAACATAATTCCAATTTTTAGACAAATGTGGCCCATCAAGTCACAAGAAACAAAATGGTAATTTTCACTTTTTCTATGAAAATGACAGAAATAAAACTTCATTCTTCAAAACAAAGGTTGTCTGCTGTCAAGACCATGGCTTCACACGCTGAAGACTGTAGCAATACTAGCTGCAAGTGTTTCTGTTTATTCATAGTGCATTACCAATTGTGTCAGCACAACTGTCTGTGAGCCACACTGAGAACCAGACCAAGGAATTCTCTAGAGAAGGATGGTTCGGTTTAGACAGCAGAGTCAGACAGAGCTCAGGAAAGAGCAATTCCATAAATTACCAATTGTTGAACTTCTGAAGCTATTAAGGACAACAGGTCTTAAGACAGGTTTTGTGTTATCACTTTATAAATTATTTACTACTTACCAAAAAAAGAAGTTATTTAAACTTAAAGCAATAAATAACATATTTACCTGGTAATTATGTCCAAAGTGGTTACTTGTGGAATCTGTATTTGCTGTGGAGTCAGGCCATGTTGTTCAAGCTGTTTAGGAATCAAGTGTCTATGTGCAATTTCAATTTTTTCTTCTTGTGTGTATCCTCCAAAAGAAAAAGCATATATTTACTAATCTTTATAATCACATTTCTTACCACTTATAACTGTAATTGAATTAAACAAAAAAAACCCCACAGCTATAATTTAAAAGGCTGTCAGTATGATACTTTGTGGTTATTTGTAATTTCATGTGAACAAGAATAGAACTTTAGTGTTTCAAAGATCCCTTTTTTCATTGGAATCTTAAAAAGATGCATCAGCCAACAGCCAGTTAGAATAGAAACACATCAATTAGTGAAAATATTGTTACAGAATGTATCAATGTATCTCTCTATATAACTGGAACTGAATTTTCCTAAGTGCAATGCTAAATTTCATTCTCATGACAAAGGCCATAATGGAGGCATCCCTACTGGCCTCTTTTAATGATTCTGGCCATTCAGTCTAGATTCCTAACAGGCTTAGCTTAAGGAGCTGCTTTTCCTTTCAGGAAAAACACCGCAACATTGTTTAAGGACTTGCAATAGTGTCTTTAATGAAAACACTGTAGTGTTACCTGGAACTTGAATAATTTCCATTCTGTCCAGCAGAGCAGGAGGGATAGTAGCTGTAGTGTTGGCTGTAGCTATAAAAAGGACTTGGGACAGATCAAAGGCTACATTTAAGTAGTGATCGGTGAAACTGTGATTTTGTTCTGGATCCAAGACCTTAACAAGAATGAACACAAAATTGATGCATTTGCTCAGTTAGAGGTAAATAAATATGCACATTGTTATTATATTCCACTTGGATCTGTCAAACCTGACTTTACGTTCATAATATATATTACAAATATTATTAAAGCCTGACCCTTCAATATCCCGCCTCACTCTGATTACTGTGTAACCACATGCAAAAAGAAAAAAGTTACTTTTCCCTTAGTTCTTTTTACCCTTTTCTAAAGATGAACTGCAGCAGTTCTCCAATCATCAGGTCCCTCCTGCAATCTATCTCCATGACCTTTCACAGATGATAGAGAGCGGCCTTTCAAGGACTCTCAGCACCGTTGGAAAAGCAGCCCATGTGGTCCCATGGACTTGTATGAGCACAATTCTCTCAAGCAATCCCTGACTCCAATCCTCATCTGCTGCTGGTAGCTCTTCTTTCTCTTAAGTACACCAACCTGAGAGATCTCACTGTGAAGACCAAGGGGAAGAACACAGATTATCCCAGCCTTATCTGCTGTCACTAAATCACCTGCCCCACTCATTCAACTTTGTCCAGCCTTTTACTACTAATGTAGTAGCAGAAGCTCTTCTTATTGCCCATGACATCCCATGCAAATCTTGACTCTCTGTGAGCTCTGGCTTTCCTAACACAATCTTTGCATCTTGCACAATCTTTTTTTCCAAAATTTTGACATGAAAAAACAGAGACAAAATTAAACATGCACTGAAGAAAAACAACACACAGTCTGACCAACCTCAAAAACTTACTGCACAAGTAGAACTACGGCTTAAATAACTGTTGTCTTCCTACTGGTTTTAGTACAGCTTATGTGTGCTAATGCAACACTTGCATATATTTAAGCTATTACTCGAATAAGCTGGTTTTCTGCATTAGGTGATGAATATTCTATATATGTGGATCATGAGCACACTAAGGTGCTGTCTTGTACGTTTTTTAACAGTGCTGAAAATTGGAAGTTCATTGTATATAGCGATCTACACTTTGCTTCTATATGACCACCTATGAACCACCTTCATTCCACCCCCCTTTAAAGTACTGCCACACTTTTCCTTCCCAAATGATGGATTATCAAAGCTACACCAACATGAATAATTCTCAAGTTACAAATAGTGGGACCTACACATCTCCTGAGAAATAGCATGCTGCTGTCAAAATAATTTATCTGCCTATACCCAAATGAATGCACCCCTTGTCTTAGCAAGTTGAATTATAGCCAGGAATAGCATTGATAATTCTAAAAAACTGAAACTGAGCACTTCTTAGCTGGTTATAAAAGAAACAATTCTGAATTTTCATTACTCTTAAATCCCATTCGGTTGTTGAAAAATTAAAAATATTTAGAACAGAAATATTTTATGATCACAACAAACTAGCAAAATACTTTTTTACAGAATGCCAGAAACACAGTAGAACTTTTTAAAAACAGAACATTTTCTGATTTTATTTTGAAGTACTACCCGGATTTAAGACCTAATATTTGGAAATGTATTGTGACTGTAATAAAATACAAGTTATATGTTCCCCTTAATAGTGAAATCTTAAAACATACCAAAGCACATGCCTAAATTCTAAAACTAAGGTTGGAACTTGGTGAATGTTATTGTTCATTGGCTACAAGCTATTCAAAAGCTTCTTTTCTTACCCTCTTTAGCAGGCAGCTGCTATCATTAACTCCCTTCTTTACCGATGAAGGAAAAGGCCTTAAGTATCCTGACTAGCCAAGTACATAATTCAACTGGAGTTACAGATGTCTCTTACCTCAACTAGTTCTACAACCTAATCCTAAAACGTAGGGGGACACAACAATAGGCAGCGTATCCAAGCACGGCACCTAAAAACTGTCCTCAAAGAAAGTAGATCTATATCAAATATTAGTCTCTCACTCAAAGTCTACTCCTGCAAATTTTTTCAAAATGGATTTTAACAGCAAATCCTAATTCAACTTACCCTTTTTTACAGATAACACAGGATTTCCACAAAATTCCAATCTATTAGCTGAAGTATTTGCAACTATTTCCAAATATGCTGAAAAACAATGTATTCTGACAGACCAAATTGGTTTTTTATAACATTTATCTACACACGTTTATCTCTTTCTCCTTCTAGTCTGCAACTAGAAATTCTCATGAAACCTACTGAGTGCCAAGCTGGTGATTATAATATTATTTACAAAGTTATACAAAATATCGGTGCTCTACTCATGTGCAAACAATATTATCCAATAAATTGTAATCAAACCCAACTTGGATTATCTCTAAAAATGTGAATTATCTGAGATTTTCTACAGGGCTAGAGTTACTGTGGACTAATAATTCTTTGTCATGGTAACTATTTCTTGGAATAAGACATAAAACAATATCATGCCTATGCATTTAAACCAGATTTTCCAAAGCAAATAGAACTATTCTTCAGCTAGGCATCTGTGCTGAAGTTCAAGTTCAAAAGTTTTCAAAGGTATTCAACTAATACAAAAATATTAAGTATGAAAAGAACATTCAGTGAACGAAACATCTTGGTTAATTTATGGCAGACAGCTCACATACATACAAAGCTTTCTCTGTACTAGCGTTTTATTACCACAAAATCCAGAATAAGTTCCATGAACATTTAATTGCCTGGCTATGCTCCTGGTCTAATTTCCCTGCATACAAATACTCACTATCAGGCACTTGGATCCATTTCTGTTTTCTTCTGTTTTAAACAGAGGTCATCTAAATTTAGACTAAAACATTCCCTTGTTGATGAACAGTAACTGGAAGTAGGAAGACATTCTGTTTTGCTTAAGCAACAACTCTGCAGAAGCACTAGAACTAAACACATATCCGGAAATTATAAAACATCAAGCTTTGCTTCCAAGCTTACAGGGTATGGCAAATTTCTTCTTGAATATAACCCTTTATAGACAGTGAGAATTTAACACACCTACACATTAAGGAAAAAAGGATGTGCCTTTTATACTTGATGATGGCACTTACCAAACACAAAGCAGCAGTCTGAAAAACAAATGTGCCAGTTAGGTGACCACTTACTATTGTTTGTTCTCCTACATAATAGTCACCTTTGCTCATTCCAGATGGACTTTCCAACAATGTAAACCACAAAAAGCAGATGAAAAGCTGTTATGTCCAGGCATGAGTTCTCCATTAGAAGAGGTAAAGCACCTGCTTCAGGATGTTTAGACAGCAGTACAGGGATATACAGATCTCACATGGGAGCAGCCCAGACATGGTTAATAGAGCAATTACTTCTCCAGATGTAACTAATGGTCAATTAGCAATGACTTACATAAAGACTGCAGCCCAAGCAGACAGTTGGAAGCTAACCTGACAAGCCTCAGCTGGAATAATCCATGGCAGGAGCTGAGTTGAATATCACTAAGAATGTGGTTTTAAAATATGAAAAACAGACACATCCCAGAGCAGCAACAAAGTATCAAAAATTCAAACACAAATATTAAAAGAATAAATTAATTTCATTTGCCCTCACACACTTGACATGATAGAAGAACAGAAATGCTAATACTCTACTGCAGGACAGGGAATGAAAAATAAATTTTAAAAAACACTGCAAAGGTTGAATAAAATTAACAATATTAATGTGCAGATCTCGATTAATGATTGGCACGCTTCCAAAAAAAGTTATTCTCTTTCCAAGAAATGCCAGAACATTGGTTCATTACTGATTTGACTGCCCAGGAAACAACAGTCAGCTAGCTAACAAAATTTGATTTTCAGGCATTTTTTATCCATGCATTGACTAGATTGAGGCCAGCTTCGTTCAATATCTAAAGGAGAAATGACAGAAGAAATGCCAGCAAACTCAGAAACAGAGGTCATTACCATAAACAGCAAAGAGTAAATAAAATCCTGCAAGTGAAAAGTGCAAAGAAAATGCATTTGAATAGTTGTTACACTCTCTTGCTTGTTTTCCTTGCACTTTGAGGCTTTTCATGCACCCTAGAAATGTGTACCGCACACTTGAGAAATGCACAGGTAAAGGACCACAGCTGTCATTTTTAAGAGCTAAAAAAGTGAAGCCATGGTATTTTCTAGTACATTTAAATTATTACTAGTTCATGTTAACATGCAAAGATCAAAACAGAGCGCTCAAACCACAACCTGTTCATATGCTGATTTTCAAAGAACTAGTTGGCCCTGTCAAAACAGTAATTTTACACTATCTAGCAGGAAGAAAATAATTACATTTGTAGAATGTCAACTGACATTTCATTTGCAGAAAGTCATATAGCATACAGATGAGCTCATGACACCTTAATTTAAGTAGCATTTTTCATATTCAAATCACTGTATTAAGCACCATCAGTCAAAAAGAGTCATTAGAATGACTCTGTAGGCAAATATTACCAGAACTACTTTCATCCCCACCTACAACCACCCAGCCACAGAAGTTACTACATCTTAAGTCTGACAACTGAGACACTTCTATGATTATGCCACCCTAAATTATTTCAGTGAAAGTGAGCCATACTAGTGGGGATCTGTGACTTAAATGAAAAACTTGAGTTCAGGAAGTTAATTACAACACTACTTAAAGAAATGCTGCTAAAAGAACATTCAGCTAGTGCCTATTACATGCTAGGTAAAATGCTTAGCTCCAATATAAGCTTGTACCATCAAAAGCTTAAAAAATACATTAAAATTGTTCCAAGAAAGACATGGAAAACTTGAAAAATCTAGCTACTGTCTGGCTGCTCTACAGTTCTTTCTTATAGCTAACAGCATTTGGCCATTAAAAACCAATGTCTTGAAGTCCCCCAAATAAGCCATGTTTAAAGCTTGAACAAGTCTTTAAATGTACAAAACACTTAGCTCAGCAAAAAATACATCCTTGTGTTTAAGTACAGATCACTGAGATTAAAGATTTCTTACTTAGTGTATTTGCATTGTGCACAAGTAATTGACAGAAATCCAACAATGTCAAAACATAGTAGTTGGTATTTGAATAAAAAAGCTGGTACTGTCATGCTATCTTTCGTCCACTGAATCTTCCTTTCTGAAGGAAATTTTATTTTTATATATTACTTTACAGTATTTTATATTTATAGCATATATAATATATATTTATAGTATTTTAATTATTTTTAATTACAAATTAAAAAAATGCTTGTAATTTCACATCTCTTACCTCAAGCAAGGCTGCTGCAGGATCCCCCTGCAAGCTCTTCCCCAGTTTATCAACCTCATCTAACAGGAACACTGGATTGTTAACCCCAACAGTCTTCAGTCCATTGATTATTCTGCCAGGCATACTGCCAACATAGGTGCGCCTGTGAGAAATAAATGTAGATGGGGAAAGAGGGGACAGACACATGTAACAGGAGTAGAAACATCAAAAATAGAACTCGAGGAAAATATAATAAGCAGCATTGTAACCATTCTTGCTTTTTTGCAAAACTTTTTCGAACTAGCTGATAAAAATAGGGAATATGCATCTGATATAAGCAATTATATCAGCAGATGAAAATTCCAGTCCTATGGTACAGTGGTTAGTCTGGAAAGATAAACATATGCATTACTGTATATGCAAACTTTATGGCTTGTAGCCATTTTACATGATTCAGTACAAGCATCCTTGTACTGTACGAACAAGCAGAAGCAGATTTGGGAACCTCGTTAATACTAACATTTTAATAATGATGATACTGAGTTTTTGACATTACAACAAAGTTCACACAGCATGTTACAAAGAAGGGCAAAACTCCAAATTCGCTGAACTGTCCATGTCCCCTGTATATGAAGCATGCTTTAGCTGATACTCACAAAAAATAATTGTATTTACTATGTCATTTCAACATGAAATAAGAAACTAGAACAGTGCAATGGAACAAAGAAGTTATGAGTCTGAATTTATTCAGCCAAGGTGGTAAAAACTTTTTTTCACGATGCACAGAGCAACATTTACATGCAGGTATACCCCTTGTTTGCTGCATCTATCATAGCCTTTTCTGCTTGTGCCATAACTAAACAAAATACTGTAATTAAGAGTATGAAATGCTGGTCACTCAAGAAGAAAGAGATACATGGAGTGCTGTATTACAGTACCTATCTCATGACCCTCACAAAGCAGATATGCAGAACTGGCCTGCTTTGCCATATGATCTGTTTTAATACACTCCAAAATAAACAGGATGACATTTAGAAAGAAGAAACCAAAAATACCATGGGAGTAATTTCAAAAGATACTAGAGAAGTGTTTAAATATATATATATATATATATAAAACAACTCAAGCCACACAGCAATGATGTGCGTTCCAAGTAATATTTAATCACTGAGATAACAAATTGCCATTACTGTATTTAATTATAGATCTGAGTAAAAATAAAAGTTTTAAAGCTCTTTCAAATAGCCAGGAATGCATCAGAATTTCAGTTTGCTTATCACTACCTTCATGAGACAGCTGCTAAAGACTGGAGCAGCCAGCATGCAATACTTTATCACCTCACTGCTTTTGTGTAAGGTCTTGCTCTGCAGCGAGTGAGTAGATTCCTCTCCACTGAGGCTCGCACTATACAACATTTATTACAGATCAAGAATCTGCATGGGGGAGCTATTATACTAGCATACCACTGCACTCTTCATTGCACGCAGTCAACCTTGCCAAAAGAAAAAAAGGATCCTATAAAACGCAATCAAATTGTGCATCCAAATTAATCACTATAGCGATTTGAGGCGGGGGGGGATTGGCTTTGTTTTTGTGTGTGTGGTTTCAAAATGTGCTAACTGCACTAGTAAATAATTTTATATGCTTCAGAGACAACGTAGCCTGACTGTTTTTAATATTCTATTTATGCCAGTAATAGGATAACATTTAGGTAAACATTAAACATTCTTTCTTGCTTGGTACATTACTCTCAAGTGCATGCTTAAAGACATTGCACTTTTTTAATGCATGTTTGTGATTTTATATACTTATATATATACATTTATATACGTATTTATATATAAGTTTGACCTGAACGTTTTAAATTCTATAAAATCTTGAGATATCTATGTTCCATCTAGTTTTAAGGAACAGCCTTGGTTTATACACTAAATGAAAGCAAACTGGGTTTCTCTCATCGAGGAAAAGCACTCACTGTGAATAATCACTCTTTCTGTCCCTTCACCATCCAACTGCAACAACACAGCTCAAAGGACAGTAAGCATTAGGTACCAAAAGGTTTTCTGAATAATAAATCCACTTGTTTATACCCATGTGCACCTCTCCCTGCCCTTTTAAAAACTTTTTTGGAGTTTTTCCAAATAGAAGCACTTAAAAAAACCCAAAAACAAACAGGAAGAGATTTTTCTTTCTTGAGACACAAAAAAGCTCTTGTTATTAATAGATTGAAATACTTCTCCCCCCCCCAACAACCCTTAAAATAGACTTCAAGTCACAGTCATTTGGGTATTTAATAACATATTTACACTTGTGGAAGATTCTCACAGATACAGCATCTTTCAGTAAGTTGTGCACAATCAAGTTTCTTAACATTTTAAAATAAACCATATACTAGGTAGGCTGAAGCACAATGTTTCAAGATCTGTGGTGAAGAGAAAGCAGAAAAAAGCAAATATACTCAAGACAACTTATGACAAGTCAACAGAGATCAATACCTTGGAGAAAGACAATTTTAAGAGTATAAAAATTAAGTGGCTTCTAAAGCAAGCAATAAGAAAAATATTCTAACAGTGACAGAAAATAATTAATTCAATTTTTTTTATGCATCTTGTCCAAAGTGAGCATTGGGTCATGATCTACTGTATAAAAAACTTAAATAGAAACCACAGTCCAAATGAAATAGTTACAAAAAGGATTAGAAGGTTCCCTATACAACCCAAGAGTTCTTCAAGAAACAAAGGTCAAAATTAAAGGAACTATTGTTGGAAATACAGGGCACTGCTGCAAAATACTCAAATCTCCACAGAATTAAGGTTAACAGATGAGAAAAACACACAGTGGCTAGCAACATTCTGCTCTTCCTTTCACTACCTGACAACTATTCTCGCTCTTCCCCTCTCTTGTACTTTCTTATTCTCATTTGTATTTTCAATCATTCTAGACATGGTAAATCTAAACAACTAACTCCAACATAAATGTTTAATTGATGCACTAAATTTCAAATAAAAGCATGCTTATTTATGTAATTTGACCAGGTATCATGAAATAGAAACTCGGACTATAAATTTTAGAATAACAAATACCTAGGTATCAATTAACTTTTCCCATGTGTAACAGTCTAAATCCATGATACATCTTCATTTATTAGAGATGGACCAATACCTATTTTATTATACTATTAATCAAAGACTCAAGATCTCCAAGGCAAGTAAAGAATCCTAATGTAAATGTCATATGTAGGATGACAAAGAACAATAACTTAGTATTTCACCTTGAAAATACAAATATAGGTAGCCTGTTTTCATTTCTAAATGGTTATTATGGAATACATCTCAACACAAGAGTCCTCAGTAAGACAGACCCTGCAGATATTTACATACAAACCCACTACAATCCATTAAAATTACAAGCAGATATTGCCATCTATCTGTCTGGACATTAACCTTTGCCTTGTAACTTGTGACACTGAATACTGCTGTTTGTGAACTGTAGCCACTTAGTGTGATGTTATTCTTTATTTTCTTTATTTTAGCTAGGGTTAAAAGGACAAAAAGCAATCATCTACATTAGCATTTTTGATGATATAATGTGGCTTTGCTCATTTTTTGATGCACTGTTTCTCTCCATGCATTAAACCTAGACCATGAGTCAGCTGCTTTCCATTCAAAACAGGAAGTATAGATCAAGTTTCCTGGCTATCTCACTTGCGTAGTAACAACGAAAAAAATCCCTTAAGAGCTCATGCCACAGAAGGACTGTAATTTAGTAATATTTTTACTTATTTTTAAATCAGTGAAAAGGTACCTTTAAAAAAACTAGAGTTGTACAGCATGTCATTAGGAGCTATGTAACCTAGAAAATGCCAAACAGACAGCTGGGAAATCTAACCTTGTCAGCTCTCCCAGTGTAAACTGGGAATGCGTATGAATCTGAACCCTTAAAGCAGTGCTAGTATTATTGATAAAAACATGACCCACTTTCTTCATACTGTTTTAAAGACAAAAAGTTTTAAACTGTTTTTAACTACAGTGGTTTTCAAACTGCAGAGGAAGGAAAAGATTACAAAGTTAATGCCACCAAAGAAACTATTCCTGAACTTACTTGCACAAGATCACAGCTTGTTTTTTTCCAAGGACGGAGGTTGCGTCTACTCAGGCGCTTCACAAACGTTTATGCTTTATACTTGTATAAAAAGCTACTCCTCTCACAGGTAAAACTGTCTGAGGTTTGGTTTTTTTAGTGTAACAAAACATATGCTGTGAACTTCTGCTAGCATAGCTGTACTGGTGAGGAATCACACCTTTTCTTATACAGGTGCACCTGAACAGGTCTTTGGCACAGGCCTAAGCCAGAATTAAACTACCTGAACTTCTAGAAACTGAAAAGTGATGGTTAATGTAAGAAAGGTGGTGAGAGAGGTGAGAGAGAGAGAGAGAGCTTCCCAGTGATCTCAGCAGCACCGCTATAAAAAAATGGTGCAGTTACATCTTCCCTTTTTAAAAATAGAAAACCACACACATGCAACAGAGAAGATCATATAGTTCCTGTATAAAACAAAAGATCAGTACTGAAGAGATCTTAAAAGCAGTGAGCTTCTTGGAAAAAAGTTCCAAGTCATCTTTCAGGGTTGTTTGGTTTGGTTTTTTTTACTTTTTTTTTTTTAATACAAGTTAACAACAAATGTAAACCAGAAAACTTTTACATATGGTATAGATGAGTGGTAAATGTGAACAACAGCTGGAGGATGTCTGATAAAGCCATTCTGTTTTTGTACCAAAATGATGATTTCATTTTGGGACTGCAGAACAGTAGTAGCTACTCTTCACCCAATCAAAAAAAGGGTTCACAAACTCCAGCTGCAGGCACATGATCCACACTGAAATGGCAAAACCTGGGCGTTCCCAATTGCCCTAGTTACACATCACATGGAATGGCACACTTACCAAAACACCCCTCCCCACCCTGCTGCCATCTAACATATTTTATTTTGCTTGCTAAATCAGTCTGCATCTTTCACTTACAACAGTGATAAGCAGCCAAAGTGGACGCTATTTCAGGCAATATTTGCTTGCAAGTAAAACCGAAACACAGGGTTTTTTAATCTTCTAGTACATGTAGTACATTTTTTAAAATGTTTAGTACATTAGTAGGTACATATACTATCATTCTTCTGCAGTGTTAAAAGAATCCTTAACTTAAGCCTTAAAGCCTAATAAGGAGCTTTTCAGAGAAAAAGAATGGCTCCTAACATGTAATATTAGAAAATCAGCCTAATTAACAGTAAAACTCGGGGAACAGCAGCCCATGTCTCCTCCACTTCTAGACCACCTTTGTAATTCCTCTCCATGGCTGCGGCCAGCTGCACAATATGGATTCACCTGACTGGGAATAACTTGAAGGATTTATTCACACAAAAGGACATTACAGAGAGAGGTCTGCAGAAAAGCTATGGGTTTAATTTGATTAAACCTTATTATGAGAAGCAGAAAAGCAGGAAAAAAAATGAAGCAGAATTAAAAAAAAAAATAAATTATGCAATAGTTGGCTTTGATTTTACCTACAGAAAACTTGCAAAAGCAATGGGTTACATGCAACTCCTTGTACTAACTGCTTTAAAGTCTGTTTTTAAACTATGCACTTGTTTGTTGAAGAGTACTCACCTGATTCTCTTGCTAATTCTAGATAGTATCTTCCTTTGCTCATTAAAAATAAACTCTTATCAAATACCTCCCATCAGCTAATTTCAAGTAAATTTTTTAATACAAAATTTATAACAGTTAGCTTTGAACATGCATTAATAATTTAATAATGCCCTCAAAAATACTACAATGACAGTCATAAACACCTGAATTTAAAAGTTTTTAAAAGCCTCATGATCACATGACTCTAGCTGTCTTCATTCTTTATTAGGTCTAAGCACAAGAGAGAAAGCCAAACAAAAAAAAAGGAAACAGTAAGGAATTACTAGCAATTAAATGAGTAAGAGTTGATGACAGTTTTACTTTTATTCATAATGCCAATTTCACAGCCGTGTTTTCCCTGTTACAAAGGCCTGAGTACTGCTCTGCCCCGGCAAAGGTACTTGTATCTCTAATGCTGAGTATTCAACAGCCTCTAGTGGTTTCAGTCTGAATAGCAACATGTTGTATCACATTTAAAATTGTTTAAAGGATCCATACCATTAAGTAATCTGAAACATTAGAATTCTTACTTATTAAATGGTAATTAACAACACAGTTTATGAATTACAGGCATAATACATAGTGAAGGAGGAGGACAGAGTTTCACTTCTTTTTCCATTAGTGTCTAAATAAATTGGTAAAAAGGCCAGCTATTACAAAGGTTTGAAAAAGAATCATATATATGTGCACAGAGAGCTGCTATGCAGTAAAAATCGATGTGTTAAAACAAATGTGTCTACAAACCCCTAGTGGCTACTGGGTATGTTGACCAGAACTACACTAAGAACAAACTCACAGGTGATTTTTCAAGCTACAAACTCTATGTAAGTGTCAAACACTCTGGAAAACGAAACTCCAGCAAATTTGCCACAGAAGAATGTGCAGAGGAATAAACGCGCGTTGCTTATTTTATCAATGGTGCTGAACTGAAGGTTTACAAAACAACTCTGAATTTTCAAGTTGTCATCAAGTACAAAATCACTGTTTGCTCACTTTTTCATCTCTCATGTTCTGGTCTAGTGAGTGATTGATAGTATATTATACTCTAGATTCCTAGGAATGCATTATATTCCAGATTCCTGGAAGTTTATGCATAAGTTCAATACAAGATTTCCCAGTGAGTCTCCCCCATTCCTCCCAGTTGCGACTGAGCTTTCACCACTCTAATGCATTTACACATACAACTAGCTTACACAGTCAGAAGTCCTAAGTCTGATACCACAAAACGAACTTTTATTAGGGCACCTCTTGTAAGTCTTCATTAAAATTACATAGGGAAGTGCTAAGAATACCAGGGTCCTTTTTATGCCTTGAAAACAAAAAGAAATTACAGAATAACCTGGAATTGAAGCAAGAATGATGGTGTATTCTGGTGATTGAAAGTAGCAGCATAGCCATTGTACAAAATTAACTGCTACATGGCATCAAAGAAATAACTGATAACTGTAATTCATAATAATTTACCTACTGTTTTAAGGAGAAATTTTATACAATAATGTGACTTTAAAAAAAACCCCACAAGGTTTTACATTACTTTAGAACACTAACAAATACATTATTCCAAATTTCCTACAGTGCATGCAATAAGCATAAAGTATGTTTAATGGAAGCAAAAATGCTGCATTGATGTTTGGCAGTCACTTATCTACATTACCCATTCATTATGCTTCCAGCTGCAAGGAATGGGAAACCAACTAATGTTAACAAATGGTTTAAACAACTAAGAAGCAAATACATAAAGAGATGCAAGATCAAAAAAAGTCCTGAGGAAAGTCAGCCAAAAAATCTCCCTTGAAATCTTCCAGTTTAAGTGTCCTTGTATAAACGTCCTTTTGAAATGGGAAAATAGTCCACTAACAAGGCTGAGATAGCAGCTTAGTTGCTATCCTCTAGCAACTTTTAAGCACCACTCTCAGTTTTTACTCCTGATTTAGTAACAAACATGGTTATAAAGTAATGCACTACTATGCATAGGCTATTTTGTATCTTTACATCCCTCTTAAATGTCGAATCAGATTTTTCTGCTCTAAGAGTCTGCATTAGACTTTCTACTGAATTTTACTTCAAAGTGCCAAAATGACTTAAGATGAAATTCCATTCTCTACTATGACAATAAAGGGCAGCAGCAGAAGGAAAGAATGAAGGCTGTAACTCAACACCAAGTATCCATTCCCATTACTAAACTTCTCTCTTGAATAATATCACTAAATACCAAGAAAAATTGATGAATAACTACCATTGTTTGAAGTCAGCAAATTTTCACTGTATTAGCTAAACAATGAAAATAAGCAATACAATCTGTAACAAACAAAAGAAAAAATTTCAATTAGGAAAGGAAGAAGTAGTTACCTGTGGCCTCGAATATCAGACTGATCACAGACTCCTCCTAAAGCAATTCTGTGAAATTCTCGACCCAAGGTCTTTGCAATTGATCTTCCAACACTAGTTTTACCAACTCCTGGGGGCCCCACAAAACAAAGAATGGGTCCCTTGAGGTTGTTTTTAAGCTGTCGGACAGCCAAGTACTCCAAAACTCTCTTCTTCAACTTCTCCATAGCATAATGATCATTATCCAAAAGAATTCGAGCTGCACGAATTTCAAGGCGATCTATCAAACATTGACAACAAAAGAGATATCAGCACATTTACCTTTAAAAATGGAAACAATTAATTCTACAATACAATAGGAGCAAACACTTTCTCAAACATGTTCATCAATGCAATCCCCTAACACACGCATATTTCAGACAGTGTATTCCTAAAACAAAGGTATTATAATTCTCCTTTAATAAGGAAATTACACAGAAGTTAGACAGATAGTACTGATAAATTAAAAAAATCTCCACCTTTTCACTGTGTCACAAATTGAAATCTGGTTCAAACGAACTCAGTATCTACTCTAGAACAGTGATTCAATTATATGCAATTTTTTCAGCATTTGCTTTCTCACAGAAAGAAGTCTGATCCTGTAAGATCTTCTCAAAAGACAAATTCATCCCCATGTCTTCATCTACTCATGATAAGCGTCTATACCTATCTCACAAACAGAACAAGATCCTGTTGGCTTGAAGCGTGGGCTTTTCTTGGTATGCAACACTTGAAGTGATTTGGCACTGTAAAAAATACCCATGCGATACTAGGAGTGGAAGAATTCATTTTTTGCAGTTGCCACAATTTGAGATAAATGGTCAGGCCTCAACAATGGACATTAACTAACGCTTTACACAGAGCAGGAATTTCTGGCACAAAGCAGCTGTCTTCTCCTTTGCTCTACAACATAAAGAAGAGGCAATGAAGTCCATCAACTCTGCATGTGCCCACCCTTCATCTTCTCTGCATTCCAGAGGCAGACCCCTCATACCGCTAAGTGGTACAGACCACTGTGATAAAATTCTCATCATCAACCATGTAAATTTTTGTAACAAACCACTGAACAAAAAAAATCACTAATGATCATAATGGTCTATTGGATTTTCTATTTTTATATTCATGTATATTTTTATTCACTGTAACTACGGAGTCCAAAGCATCTTTCACATGAATGTGAATACAAACTTTGCTTTAAGTAAAAACTTCAAACTACTTGTGACATGGCATAATTTTGCAAGATTAAAGAGCAACTTCAACAAAGAACCATTCTGCTAGGACATGAGCACCAACAAATACTTTACTCATTTGGGGATTCTTTAGAATAATACTGTAGAGATCTGCAAAGATCTGCAGGCAGACCTTTTTACAATTTAATGATTAAAGAAAATATTTCTAAGAAGATTTGTAAACAGCCAAGGCTCTAGAGTCCAAAACAGACAAAATTCACCACCATGCACACTAAGAAGGCAAAAGATAGAAAAACGTTTCTGCTGGTGTGGTATGTTAAATTTCTTTTTAAAATCAGATTGTTTTAAATGCATTCAAAAGCCTCATTCTTCAGTAGCTGCTAGAAGGAATTGAAATCCTTTTCTCCAGCAGTGAACCTTCTGGAAAGTCACTTTGCCCACTTAATCTACTTGTGTGGGTCAGTAAGAAGTTGTGTTTGATTTTCTACTCTTTCCTTCCTCCCCATTTTTGCATACTGTTCCCATATTAATAGTACCCACTCTCTGCTCACAACTTCTGAAAACTGTGATACAAAGCTGACATGATACTCAGTTTTCCTATGGTACCTAAAGTTGTAATTATTAAAATTAACTACAGTTGTGCTTTTTCATCTTTTTGTTCCTTACCAAACTTAATTAAGACATGCCAGAACCTTCTTCAGGAAGATTAATGCTACAGCAATGTACAAAAGTTTTCTTGACTGACATATAAATAGTAATTAGCTGTTCTGTTCTTCATTATCTAAAAACATGCTTGCACAGATTGTAAGTAATAACACCTTCATTTTTCTGTGTAGATATTCCTAATACTTTTTAAATTCACATTCTTAGATGTACAACTCTAAGCCAGACAGACCGTAAGACTTCAGTAACATATTAGTGACATTTTTATCATCAGACAATGAGACAAACATTTCCAAGACCAAACTAAGTATACAGTGTTTACATGATGGCTGCTTGTCCTAAACTGTCTGTGCAAGAGACAATCAACAATAATAGAAGGGTTTACCTTTTGTACTCTTGTTCCACGGCAATTCTACCATCAGTTCCAAGTAATTTCTTGTCAAAGCATATTCTGGCATCGACTGAGGCATCTTCTTTAATCTGGAAATACATGCATAGAATTCCTAAGGCCGATCAGGAATTAACTGCGAAGTAAGACACTCCCGCACAAGATAGCTATTTAGCAAACTTGAGGTCATCAGCATACCCTCTTACTTTCTGACAACCGTAATACTAAAAAAAGCAAGTCACTATTCCATCAATTAGAAGATTGTCTTTGCATAATAATAGGTTATTTATAGGATACAAAGAGAAATGAAAAAGAGAGTCAGTTCCCTATGCATACGTTACATACACAACGCATACACTACTGTATCTGCAGCCTTACTGAAGATGAGGTTGTTCATATCACCATGGACAGCACAGTTATCCCCTCACCAGAGAAAAACAGAGGAAAAAAGACTCAGAACTGGGTCAGTTTATTCATTAGTTATTAACAACTGCAGTGTTAGTATTTTTTTTTTTTTGAGATCTTTGTAACATAGAGGCTTAGAGCTTACAGTTTAATGCTGTAGTATTAATATATAAACCATATCTAGAAGACTTAATATTTCTTTGTCATCACCTCTGATGTTCAAAAAAGATGAAATTATGAAATTTATAAGCAAAAAAGAACACTCTAATAAATTTTTAAAAATAATTTCCAAAACACAAACAATGGAAATGTATCATCAAATAAGAAAAGGTTAATGCAAGATTTGTTTTAGAAAATTAAATAAGAGAAGAAACCACCATTTGAAAGTCTCCTACCTCTTTATTTCCTTAAGACAAACTTTAAGAGCTTGTTCTGACATACTGGATGTTCTAATCTTTTTTTCCAGCATGACAACATCATCATGATCTTCTTCTTCCTCCTCATCTTCTGCAGTGCTTGGAATGTGATTGATTCTTCTATTAGGACGAATAGCTACAACCTATGAAATAAAAAACAGAGCCAGAGAATAGTATTGGGTTTTGGTTTTTAAATAAGGTGTGTACTTTGGCTTTGAATGGAAACCATGAGAAAAACATGCAAGGCTTCATAGAAAAATTCAGAAGATTTTAATGCAATAAATAACTTCATGAAGTGTTACTGGTATCACTTTAAAAAGCTACAGTTCTTATTTTACTGTATGTATTTCCTAAGTGCATTTATGACCTACCCTTAACTAGGAGACAACAGAAGACAAGAACAAAACTGAAAAGAGTTATTTGTGATTTTTTGGGCGTTGCAGCCCACCATATTAAGCAGAATAAGCCTAATGTTTACAAAATGGATAAGTCTTCTCTCTTACCTTTTTTCATTTCTCAATTACTTACTGTTTACTAAGCTGCGTAAGCACAGTTAGATGCAACAAAAGTCTAAGCTGCCCTAGTTTAGCAAACTACATTTTACAACACACAAGGTGTATTTCAAAAGCTATCACCCACCTGCAACGCCACTGGTAAAAGGTACACCTTTCACTGCACAGACCAAAACAGTGTGTTCATACCATGCAAGTAAACTAGGCATCAAGTGACTCTTTAAAGGAACCTGAGCATTTATTCAATGTCAGAAAGTGCTTGGATT